GTCTTTCAGTTTGGGGGGGGGTTCTAATTTTTTTGATTTCTTTACAATTCTAGGTATTAGTCCTTTGTCTGAGGAATAGATGGTAAGATCCCCCTCCCCCATTCTATAGGTTGTCTCTTTACTCTGGTTTCTTTTGCATTTTAATTTGATGTCATCTCATTTGTTGACTCTTGGTGTTATTTCTTGTGCAGCTGGGGTTCTGTTCAGAAAGTCTTATATCTTCAAGTGTCTTCCAACAAATTGTTTCCCTTCTAATATTTAGATTTTTGGTTTTAGTTTAGTATATGGTGAGAAGTAAGGGTCTAGATTCAATCTTTTGCATGTGGATGGAAAGCCAGTTTTCCTAGCACCATTTGTTATAGAGGCTAACTTTCCTCCAGTGAGAGAATCTGGCTCCTTGGTCAAAGATAAAGTATCTGAGTGTGCCTGGAGTTGTTTCTGCATCCTCTGTTCTGTTCCGTTGATCCCCAAGTCTGCTTTTTTGCCAGTATCATGCTGTTTTTATCACTGTAGATTTGTAGTGCAGCTTGAAGTCTAGGAGTGTGATGCCTCCTGTCTTGCCCTTGTTATCCCGAATTGCTTTTGCTATTCTAGGTCTCTTTTGGTTCCATATGAATTTTAGGATTGCTTTTTCTATTTCTATGAGGTATGCTATTGGTATTTTGATTGAGATTGTGTTAAATCTGTGTAACAGTTTTGGAAGTAAGGTCATTTTGATTATATGGGTTCTGCCTATCCAGGAACAGGGGATCTTTCCATTTTCTGATATCCTTTTCCATCTCCTTTTTTCAGAGCATTGTAGTTTTCATTGTAGAGGTCTTTCACTTCCTTGGTTAGGTTAATTCCTAAGCATTTCATTTTTCTTGATGTTATTGTGAAAGATACCAGTTCTCTAATTTTTCTCTTGGTGAGTTTGTTATTGGTGTACATGCACACTATGAATTTTTAACTGTTTACTTTCTATCCTGCTGTGCTACTGAATTTGATTATTCTAGAAGTCTTTTGGTGGTGATTTGGGATCTTCTATGTAGGGGATCATGTCATCTGCAATACTGATACTTTTTTTTTTTGGTCCCGGGGATTGAACTCGGGTCCTTGTGCTTGCGCAAAATAATGATAATTTAACATTCCTTTTCTGTCCATATCTCTTATTTCTTTCTCTTGTCTAATTGCTCTGCCTAATTTTTCAAGAACTATTTTGAACAGTAGTAGTGATAGTAGACATCCTTGTCTTATTCCTCATTTTAGAGGGAAAGCTTTCAGCTTCTATTTAGTATGATATTGGCCATTGGTTTATCATAGAATGGATTTTATCATATTGTGATAAAGACCTTCTGTACCTATTTTCTTCAGGGTTTTTAATCATGAATGGGTATTGGATTTTGTCAAATGCTTTTTCTGTGCCTATTGATGATCATGTGATTGTCTTTGCTTCTGTTTATGTGGTGTATTACCCTTACTGATTTGCATATGTTGAACCATTCCTGCATCTCTGGAATGAATCCTCTTTGGTCTTAGTGAATGATCTTTTCAATGATTTGCTGCTTTCTACTATTTTATTGAGTTTTGCATCTATGAAGGGTTTTTGTAATTCTTGAAGACACAGGTTTTTAATATGTTCTTATTTACCTTCCCTCAAATACTGGAAGAGCAACCTGGCATTTTGTCAATTAATGGCACTGGGGTTGAGAACTATTGTCTTATATTACATGGGTCTCCTTATCTTGTGTAACCACTCTGCCTTTTGATACCATTCCTACCACTCAGGCTTTTATATTTATTAGCATGTTCCTACTGTAGGACCTATGTATTTACTCTTTTTTGCCTGCTGAGAACTCTTTCCCCAAATGGCTGAATAATTCACTCTTTTACTCTCACAGATCCTCATCAAAGAGTCTCCTCACCAATGATACCTCTTTTTTTTTTTTTTTTTGGTACCGGAGATGGAACTCGGGACCTTGTGCTTGCGAGGCAGGTGGCAGAACCACTGAGCTAAATCCCTGGCCCAATGATTGACTCCTCCAGTGAAGACCACATAAAAAATAGTGATACTTCCCCTCCTTAAAATACTTGTATTTTTACTATGGTCACGGTTATATAGCATGTTGTAATTAGTCTGTACTGCCATGCCTACACCCTTCAAGAGCAATTTTTTCTTTTATGTGTTCACCTAAAATTGTCTTGTTTATAGTAAATACAGTAAATACTCAGTATTTGTTATTGAATGACTACGTGAGGAAATTAATCATGGGCATGATTATAGGGTGCTTGTGAGGATTAAATATGAAGTATTAGGTGTAGTGCCAGGGATGTAGTAAGCACTCAAATATTATTTAAAAATTATTGCCTCAGAAATGATCACTTCTCATTACTAGATACTGTAAAGGTTAAAAACTACCTTGCTTTTGTAAAACCAGCCCATCTTTTCCTGTTATTTTTTCTAGCCTCAGATTTTTAAGCCATTTTCCAGGGGCTTGGATGATAATGAAACTTCGAACATAGATCTATATTTATGTAGCTGGAGGATTTAGAGACTAGATCTGTGCATTTAACCAGCTTGTGGTTTCCAGTCAGGGAACTGCTTTTAATGTAACTTAATGAGTGGGAGAGTGATTGAATAGACATGTTCCTTTTTAACTTTTATCTCTTAAAGACTACATTCTGGGAGATGGACAAACTCAAGAATTTTATGTAACGCAAGTGAAATATAATACTAAGCAGATACTACCGCTTTCTCTTGAACAGAATATCAAAATTGATTGACCGATTGACCTGAGTGGTAAATATTGACCCAAGTAAATGCTGAAGTCAGTGTTTACCCAAAGGCACAATAATAAATCTTGATGATCAGAAATACATAATCTTGGTATTATTACAGAATTTCACTACAAGGATCTGAAAGTCTTGTGGCACGAATATCTTGAGGATGGCTTTCCTTAGAAAAAAATGTAACAACCAACTTGTACATTCAAGACAGGGAATTTAGCATATTAAAACATTTGATAAGCTTCTCTGATTTTTTTTTTCTTTTTTTTGCAGTACTGGGGATTGAACTCAGGACCTTGCGCTTGCAAGGCAGACAGTGCACTACTGAACTAAATCCCCAGCCCTCTGATTTTTTAAAAACTTGGACAGAAAGCTGCTACTTTGGTTCCATACCCATTATGTTATTATTTCTAAGTCTCCTGTTAAGATACTTTATAAGGTTAAAAGACAAGGAGAAAATTTCTTTGGCCTTCAGTGATTAGTGTAAGGCTGGGCCTAGTGGCACATGCCTGTGATCCAAGCACTTGGGAGGCTGAGGCAGGAGGATTGCTGCAGTTTCGAGGCTAGCTGGGTGTAGCTCAGTGATACAGCACCTGCCTGGCAAGCAGTAGCCCCTGAGTTTGATTCCCAGCAGCTCCCCCCCCCCCAATCAGTGTAAGGACACACAAGAGGGGAAATATATACACACACCTACACATATATTTGTATAGACACACAGACATATGAAGGAGGCACTGATACAAAACTGTATTAGTCACTTTCCTGTTGCTGGGACAAAATACCTTATATACACAACTTAAGGAGGAAAGGTTTACTTTGGCTTATTTTTTCCAAGGGTTTAGTCTGTGGCTGGCTCCGAGGCAGAAACACCTGGTGGAGAAAGTTACTCAACCCTTGGCGTCCAGGAAGCAGAAAGCCCTCTGAAGGCATGACCCCAGGGGCCCACCTTCCGCAACTTGGCCTACCTCCTAACAGCACACTTAAGCTGGGAGTTATCAATGGATTGGTTAATCCGCTAATGAATTGAGCAACCTCTCAAGATCCAGTTACCTTCCGAACCCATAAGACTTAGGAGGACATTTTAGATCTAAACTATAACAAAGACTATTTCTGATACCTTAGTAACTCTGTTGGAAGGTTAATGTGAGAGAAAGGCTTTATGATGGAGGGGAATTGTAAATAAAATCTTAAATAGGATTTGAAGAGGCAGAAGAATATTTTATAGTTTTATAGTTTGATAATTGGATTTCTGAAAGCATAAGATTTAATATGTTGATTTAAAAATGTATAGTTACTATATAAGTACTTGTTTAAATTACTTGTATATATTTTAAAAATGTTTGAGAAGATACAAGTAAAAATAAATTCTATCAGAGGTAACTACTTTCAACATTTTAACACATATCTTTCCAGACCACTTTTTCCTCCCCTTCCCTCCCCTCCCACCCCTCCCCTCTACTCTCTTCCTTTCTTTCCAGGGTCTTGCTGTGTAGTTCAGGCTGGCCTTGAACTCACTCTGTAGCCCAGGCTGGCCAGGAACTTGTGGTGATACTCCTGCCTCAGCCTTCCAAGTGCTAGGATTATAGGCACGCACCACCACTCGTGGCTCTCCAAATCTTTTGTGTTCAAGTGTATAACAGATCTGAATATATATTCTCTTAGTCTGCCTGGGCTGCTATAACAGAATGTCTTAGACTGGGTAGTTTGTAAACAATAGAAATGTATTACCCCAGTTTTGGAAGGTGGAAGTCCAAGATCAAGGCTTCAGTAGACTTGGTGTCTGGTGAAGATCAGGGTTGGGGTTAGGGTTAGGGTCTGTTCCGTACAGATGGAACCTGCTATGTGTCTTCACATGACGGAAGAGACAAACAGCTCTCAGGATTCTTCTGGAACGGTCCTGTCACCACCCACATGGCTTCTCCTAGCACTGCTTTACTTGGCATTAAGTTTCAACATAGGAATTTTGGGGAGGATAGAAGCACTCAGACCGTAGCATATGTATAGATATTTGTGTGTATATCTGAGTAAATGGGAAAATAAATATTGATAAAAAGTCATATTGTTTCAAAGATTTGCATTTAAACATTTTGCTTTTTTAGATTATAAGTATGGTAGTTTAATTATCAGTGAAAAAGTGTGGTCCTTCTGTGTGATTTCTGAGATTTTTTTACCTGAACATACTAGAGAAAATGCAATCATTGTTTTGACTGACAGTGAAGCTCTCATTTTTTTAGGTGCTGGCTCTTCAGCTCTAAAGAGACCGTTTGAAGATGGATTAGGGGATGATAAAGATCCCAGTAAGAAGATGAAACGAAACTTAAGGAAAAGTGTGTAAAATCTTTATTCTTCTTTGATGTGAACTAGGGAGGATTTGTAGCCTCAGAGAAAGTGAAGAATTTGGTTCATTTGAATTAGAGTTTTAGGGATTAACTAAGAAATTGATACTCGAACAGCTTTTGTTTCCAAACTTCATTGTTTAAGGTAGACTAATATTGACAAGTGGAAATTAATGTATAGATATAGTTAGTAATACATATTATTTTTATAATTATGTCAGTATGATAATTGAGTAATTTTAGAACTACTCATGAAATTGATTTGTATGTTTATCTTGAAATTCTCATTTTTTAATACCTGGTAAATTTGTAGTGGTTATTAGGAACCTAAAAATGTATAGATTAAAAGCAAAATAACTTTCTAGTTAACTTCTGATCTCATTTCTCTTTCTTTAACAGTCCTGGATAGTAAAGCAATAGACCTGATGAATGCACTAATGAGGCTCAATCAGATCAGGCCTGGGCTTCAGTATAAGCTCTTGTCTCAGTCTGGCCCTGTCCATGCTCCGGTCTTCACAATGTCTGTAGATGTGGATGGCACAACATACGAAGCCTCAGGACCATCCAAGAAAACTGCAAAACTTCACGTAGCAGTGAAGGTACAGAGTTTCTTTTTGGTTACCAATGGTTTATTTTATGTTCCAAATAAAGTGTTTATTTATTTACCTATAGTAAAATCAACAGTATCTTCAAGATCTTAACAATAATGTAGAAACTTTTGTCACGTTCATATCACAAAAAATTGGTTTTTGTTATAAAATAATGTATATTATATCAAATTTAGAAAATACAGTAAAAAGTAATCTCAATTACATATTTCTGAGGGAAAGATTATTGATATTTAAATATAGTATGTTGGTTTATTTCTTTTTTTGTTTTGTTTTCTAATTAGACTCAGTATATATGTAATTTTATCCTGTAATTCTTTTCAGGTAGTTTTTCATTAGTATTTTTGTTATTGAAAACTTCATAAATAATTTTTAAAGGCTATATGATTAACATGTATTTTTTTTTTTTCTGAAACCCTTTTCTATCATTGAATGTTTTGCCATTTCCAGTTTTTTTTGTCATAAATAAATTTGATTGTGTGTGATACTATTTTGTATTTCAAAATATTTCCATGGGGAGTAATGTTTGAGATTGGCCAATCAGTCATGCATATAGATTTATAGAAAATTCCCATATAATGGAATCTCTCTAAGTACATTTGACTTCTTAAAGACTTATTCCAGAATGTCAAAGATTATGTAGCCCCAAGATTGTCACTTGAGAAAAATTCTATTATTTAACAGTATGGCATAAGATGTTTTTGTGGTCATTTCGTGTTGCAAGTACTATTAATGTGGATGCAAACGCTGTCCTAGATAGTAGAGATACAACAGTGAGCAAAGTGAAGTACCTACTTTCATGGAGTTTATGTTCCACTGTGGGTGTGATGGGGATACAGACAATAAATATATAAGAAGTAAATAATATGTCAGGTAGTAATTAGAACAGTGCCAAAAATAGTAACAAAGAGGTAGAAATATCAAACTATATATTCTGTATTATTTACAGAATGGATTTCTAAACGGTGATGAAAGAGTACGAGTTTAAAATGAGGTAGAAAAGTGAATCCAGGACTAAGGCTAAAAATATAGTTTAATGAGTTAGCTATCGTGTACTCTGAGAATGAGTCACAAATTTAGAGCTAAATTCTGTAGCAAATGACATAAAAAATGTGTGAAATATACAAGCCACTGTCTATGACATAAAAATGGTTGATTTAAGTGTCCTAGTTATTTTGGTACAAATATGAGGTAGAATTCCTCTTTGGATGGACCTTCACAAAAAAGAGTATCAGTGATAAGCTAGTGGCCTCAGAGTAACTTTCAATTCAGTAAAATTGGTTACTACATAATGAATTAGATGTTAGCTTCTCTTTTGACCCAGTGATACATTTTTGTAAAATAATGGAATTTGAATGGACTGGGAATGCTTTCGTCTTCACTTCTGAAGTGTTTCTTTTTTTTTTTTTTTTCCCCCAACTGAACTTTTGGCAAACATGGAGGGCCTGTATATTTGGGCCCTGTAAATTCTGTGGCAAACATTTGGAATATGTACATATCAGTTATAATCTGAATAGTATTGGATCTGAGAAGAGTTAAAGGCCTCTTGTGACGTGTATGGAGGTAGATGGCTTTCACACTTCTTTTAATCCTGAGTTGCAGTTTGGGTACATTGTGCACTTGACTGGTAAATCTGAAATATGTGACGAGTTGAGGTTTGGGCTTTTTGAAAATGGAATAAACTGGACTTCTGCTTCACTCAGGTGGAATAAATGAAGTATCAGGGTAAACCAGCTCTGAAGGTTTGAAAATCTCTCCTTTAATATTTTATTTGGTTGAATGTGTTTAATCAGAAATCTGATATGAAGGCCTGGTGCTTTGTCAGAAATAGCCTGCATCTTTTCTGGGGCCCTGCTAGTCTCACTCAAATTTAGGCACTGTGTAGTTGTATTCCAGAATTTGCTTTCTGTGTTGAGGCAAAAAGCTTTTTCTGAGGTATTGACAGAGTTTTACGGTACGTTTGGTTTTCTGAAAGTTGGCTTTTTAATGTGTATTGGGTTAACAATGGTTTAGAAAATGAGGGGGACATTAATAATTAATAATTTCAATACCTAGAAATAATAGCTATTTTACATTAAATAATTTTGGTATGTATTTTTCCAAGCTTTTTTAAAAGCCTGCAATGAAAAAAAAATTCCTAAGTTTGAAGCAAACCCATTGGCAAAACCTGAGCAGCGTTGATGTGGGGCCATGTTTAGTCTTTATTATTCTGTTTAGTGTGTGTACTTTGTATGCATCTTTGCACAACAAACATGGGATAGCACCTGAGAGCCCATTGGAGATTTGGCAGATGTGTGGTCTATATATTGCATTAGCGTTGAAACTGGAAAATTACGAATTCTCAGCCTGGTTCAAAGTCTCAGTTAAGGGTTTCATTAATGTGTATAAAAACATCTGTTCTTAAAGTAGATTCATGCCTTTTTTGTTCATTGAGAAATATATTATGAATATTATATAGTTAACTGAAATTGCACTCATTTTTACTCAGGGAGAAATACTTCATTTTTATCAAGCACTATAAAGTAATTGTTGTAGATTTAGACGCTTCCAGTTTATTACTTTCCATTTTTTCAACTTGTCTGCTTATTCCTTAAGATATATTTTAGAGATGGAATTACTAGGCCAAAGGGAAAGCACATTTAAATAATTCATGAGTTCATTAAAAAATACATTGGTATTCTGATTATATGCCAGGCATATATTGTCAGATTATCATCCATAAAGATTATACCATGTTACAACTTCCATTTATAAATGAATTAAATAGTGAGTTTACATCTTCCATTTGTTTATGAATGAAGGTCCCACTAGCTAAAAATCTTCACAGTCCTTACTCTGGAGCTTGGCAGGGGATCTGTAGCTATTAAGACAAATCACACCAGAGAATCAAATCTGAACAAAGCAAGAAGTCCATTTCTGGCACATGAGCCTGTCCACCCAGCAGCAAGTTCCCCAAGTGATCCAGATTAGTGGCTAGTACTTTCCTTTCCTCTTCCAGTTCTTTACCCTGGTAGCCCCTCACAAAGGGCACGTTTAGAGACATGATCAGCCACATTCCACATAAACAACCACAGTAATTTGGAGGAAAAGATCAGCTAGAAGGTGACAAGGAATGAAGGCTCTTCATTTAGACAGGTGCTTACTCACATGCCCTGCGTATCTGATGAAATCAGAGCTCCATCCACAGAAGCCATGAATATTACTTTCTTTTGAGTAGAGAGCCATGGGATAGAGTGCCATGTATTGTATTTTCACTCCTGGTCCCTAGGTTTCCAGGGTATAATCTTTCTCAGTCACAGCCCTCTCCCTGGAAGAAAGGAACATGACCACGCACAGCTCATTTTCAAAGTCATCCTATTTCCATGAATTACATTGGACCCTTTACTTACGAACTCAATTTGTTCTCAAGGGTTGGTTGTAACTCAGCTTGGTCAATTGATGGCTCAGGCTCCTCTACACAGCCTTCAAAATCTCTCTTCTGTATACAGGCAGATCTGTGTCCTTAGAGAGACATTGGGCAAGATTTCTTAGTTAACCCCACACAGGAAAGGATGTTGTAACGTTCCTTCCAGATCTCTTTAAGGGTTAAATCTGTATCTGAGACCATCTGGAAGCACAAGTGGCCGGCATTCGGGTCATAACTCAAGACTTTGGTCAAAAGTTAAAACTAAATTTCTGGTTGTAACCCAAGTTGTTCATATGTCAGGCTGGTCATAACTTGAGGGTCCCCTGTGTCTTGTGATTTTAAAGCTCAATTGATATGTTTATTAGGTTTGGATTTATTTGCCAGACATTGAAACTCCTTTTTTCTGATGCTGTTGTTGGGGCCCGAATATCGATTCCAGACAAACTTGTATTCTGTCAGAGAAAAGCAGAGCTAGACAGTTGTTATAGCGGTAAAAATAGGAACTATTGGAATAGAAAGACCTCGGTATAGAATCGGGCTCAATTCTGAATGTAACATGGGGATTTGCAGCCAAGGAACAGCGAGGGATCAGTGAATGGAAAAGTACTAAGAGGAAACATCAGGGGTGAAAGAGGCTTTCTGGTTACCAGACAAGATTCTTGGTAAAGGCAGGCCGGCCTGGTCAAACATCACCAGGGGAAGGTGGGAGAGGAGGAAACTTGATCAGCTGTAGGGGGTTGGGGGTGGGGTGGGAGAGCCTGGCTACAGCAATTTGTAACAAGATTTTTGCTACAACTGGGCTCTTAAGGACAAAGGACTAAGGATGGGGCTTAGTTGAAAAAGTAGCTAGGAGGATCCTGTCTAATTTGGTCATTTCCAGAGGTCTGAGAACTTTTTGTTTTATAAACTTGCAGTATATACCAGTAAAAGCTCTTAGAATTTGTGTTCATAGAAAAATGATTTAATTTGAAATTTTATTCTTTTTAAAAAGTTATTTGCTATATGTATTGAAAGTGAACACTATTTCTTGAGAAAGATGGTCCATCCATCATACAAACTTTTTTTTGTTTTTTATTTTTGTTTTTGTTTTGGCACCAGGGATCGAACTCGGGACCTTGTGCTTGCGAGGCAGGCCGCGGAACCACTGAGCTAAATCTCTGGCCCCGATCATATAAACTTTTTCTAAATGTATTGGTTGTGTTGCTATGATAACAAGTAAATGACTCTGACACGTGAGAAAAGGGTAGACAGAAGTGGTATTAATTAGTTTACATTAGACTATTCTAATTGTCTGTATTATATTGGGAAACGCTGCATGACTTTACTTTTTACAGATTTATTTGTGATGCTTGGCTTTTGCAGCCTGTGTTATCTAGGGTTAATTTTGGACTGGTAACTTCTTGGAGATGAGATTCTCAGGGAGGGCATATTTGCAGGACTCAGCAGAGAAGAAGGTGTTTTCTTATAAAATATTGATGAAGATATAATCAAATGATGTTAGTGTACTCAGTGTAAAGTACTACCTGAGTACTTTTAGAACTTATGTTAAAAATGGCTTTATTCCCAAATAAACACAAATAATTTATTTATGAGAATCCCAAGTTCTCCATGTATGAATTAGATGGATTAATTTCAAGTTCTCTTGGTACAGAGTTCTACTTAAGCCTCTTTAAAAAAATTGTTTAGATTAACGCCTTTTTATCTGTTGGCCAAATTGTTGACATATGATGCCATTATCTGTGAGGGCATTTCTCATTCATGGGGCTACTGTAACAGTTTTTTGAGTTATGTATTGAGTACATCTGGTATAATAAAGAAATATGATATTGCTTCAGCAAATCAAACAGTTAAAAGCTGAAACAAATACAGCAGCCTTTAGGAACTTATCCCTGTATCCTCTGATTTAAAGTTGTAATTAAGGGCCGTGGGTGTGGCGCAATGGTGAGCTCACGCTTTGTATGGAGAAGCTCTGAGTTCTGTCCCCAGCAAACTACCTACCTACCTACTGTAATTAAGCTGTGTGAGAAAGGGATGAAAATACAAGCCAAAAATTGTGCTTAGTTCACTTGGAAATAAAGTAAATCTAGAGATTGAATCTTTTTTTTCCAGATTTCAGTTATGAATTAAGTTAGTGGTCCCCAGTCATTTTGGTACCAGAGATTGGTTTCATGGATGGGTCATTGGGAATGTGTGGTCCTGCGTGCAATGGTGATGGCTTTGGTGTTGGTTGGTTGGTTGGTTGGTTGGTCTGGGGATTAGATTCTTATAAAATAGAACCCCCAACTTAAGGTCCCTTGCATGTGCAGCTCACAGTAGGGTTCGTGCTCCAGTGAGAATCTACTGTCAAGGCAGAGCTGAGCCTGCAGTGCGAGTGATGGGGAGCAGATGAAGCCTCACTCACCTTCTGCCATGGGGCTGTGTCACTCACAGGCCATAGATTGGTCCTGGTCCATGGCCTGGGAGATGGGAACCCTGATTTAAGTCGAAAGCACACTCGAGTAGAAAGCTTTAGATGTTGTAATTCCCTTTCCAGGCCACTTTCCCTTTATGGGTTGTGCCACAGAATTTAGAAATTGGGGCCAGGGATTTAGCTCAGTGGTGCCACATCGGTGTCAAAAGCTCAAGGTCCTGCGTTTGATCCCCAGTACGGGGTGGAGTGGGGGAGAGAATTTAGAGATCAACTACTATAGATAGTCTTGCTGTTTTGCAAAATTGAGAAGAGATTCTCAGGTCTTTTCCTTTCTAGCCCAGTGTACTGTTTTCAATGTGCTATTTGACTTTCCCCTCATCCCATTGATTGAACCTGGCTGTGCCATTTGTCCAAATTAATGAACTGGGAGCAACCTCAGGTTTGCATTTTTTTTATCTTTTATTTTAAATCTGATTACTGTGAGGAGATTTCTTCTCTTTTTCTACAATGCAATCCTGGTAGGTATACTTATTTAACCAAGGATTTATAGATTTAGCATTGTCGTGCTCTTAAAAGATGTTTCATGAGCCCAGATGTTAAGAATTTTAATTGTTCATTCTCCATGTTTCATCTCTTCTGTAATGTGTGAATAAAATGTGTGTCTCTAATGTGTGAATAAAATTTCATCTTAATGTAATTTGCACAGGTATTACAGGCAATGGGATACCCAACAGGCTTTGATGCAGATATTGAATGTATGAGTTCCGATGAAAAATCAGATAATGAAGGCAAAAATGAAACAATGTCTTCAAACTCAAGCAATAATACTGGAAATTCTACAACTGAAACCTCCAGTACCTTAGAGGTATACTTACATACGTGTGTGTGTGTGTGTGTGTGTGTGTGTGTGTGTGTATTGTTGTTAGAAAGAAAAGGTAATATATATGTATTGTAGAAAATTTGAGAGATTTGGTAAATACAAATTAAAAAATCAAAAGCATGTATAAACCTGTGTATTTCAGAGGTAGACATTAATACTTCGTCTTATATCTACCCAGATTTATTTCATGAATATTTTTATGAAGGCAATTGAATTTTTGTGCCGTTTTACATCTTGATTTATTTTCACTTATTTCTATAAATATCTGACAATATTGTATATTGTCCAGCACATGAATCGACCCTAATTTAACCAGCATTTCCCTGTTGCTAGCCACAGAGGCTGCTTCTGTTATGTTACAAGTATAATGTATCAAGGATATCAACAACAACTAAAAAGTAAAAAAGTTAAAAGATCTAGTGGAAGAAATTTGAGGCTATTCAAAGAGTGTGCTAAACTGGGGTGTGAGAATTAGGCCATCATATAGATGGTCCCAACTCCAAAGGAGAGGTAGGAATAACCTGATGTAGAATGTACCTTAGCATCTGGATAAGCTTATTGCTAAAGACGGCAGAATGGAATGAAAACCAAGTACCCAGCATGCACAGAACATTGGCAGATCATGAAACTCATGCTTACTGAATTTTCTGTAAAGAAAACTGGCTTTGAGTAACAGTAAGACCTTACAATAATTTTTGTTTTACTTTGTCATTTATAAGAATAAATCTTTTACTTTTTTGGTTTTTGTGTTTTTTTGTGTTTTTTTTTTGTACTGGGGAATCAAACTTAGGGCCTTGCACTTGTCAGGCAGGTGCTGCGCCACTGAGCTACATCGCTGGCCAAGAATAAGTATTTATTAAGGACTTAATAGTGTTTTTTTCAGTCCATAAGTCCCTCTTAGTACTTGCTTAGCTCTAGCTACTGGATTGTATCCAGAGTCTGAAGATTCTCTGAGTCTAAAAGGGAAAAAGACAAATTTATAACAACGGATAATGTAGTATGATAAGCCTTATGACTGCAGAATAAATATAATGATGCAAAGTCTGAAAGAGAAAGTGTTTGTGTAAGTGCTACACTCTTATATCCTTGTACAATAAGTAATAGTACAGTGTAAGAGTTAGTGTAGGTAGACGATGAGTTTTGCTACATGGGAAAGAGGTGGAAGGAAGGCATTCTAGGCTGAAGGAGAGGAGGAGGCACCATTCGATGGAGTTGAAGCACATATTTGAGAAGTGCCAAGTGGACCACTGTGGAGTGGACTGATGGGGGCTGATGCCTGAGAAAGGGTCCTGGACTGTCCATGGGATGCTGTGGAGGACAGATGTGGCACCTGGCTGTGTTCAGTACTGCTGGTTCATAGTTGGTGGTCACAGGGCAAAGTGTTGCTTTCCCAGCTGTATTATTTTTAACAAGAGAAGAAAGGGTTTGTGGATTTATGAAGTTCAGGCTGCTAAGTAGAAAGGGAGAGAGCAGGGTGGGCCACACTAATAGCAGCCATATGAATATGTGGAGGTTTTGGTAGTAGCTGTGTCTGTTCTTGTTTCTGTATAATGAGGTAATGAGCAAGAGGGGGAGCCCTTGTTTTTCATTTTTTCATTAAAAATAGTCACTAATTGAAATTCAAGTGTGTTTTCTTTCTTGGCATTAGAGATCAAACTTAGGGCCTCACACATGCTTAATATGTACCCACCAAGCTATACTTCTAGCCCTACAATTCAGGCATGGCGGCACATACTTGTAATCCCAGCTACTCTGGAGGCCAAGGCAGGAAGGAGGGTTGCAAGTTGAAGGCTAGCCTGGATTACTTAATTAAATCCTGATTTCTAATAACAAAATTAAAGAGAGGGAGGTTGCTGGAGGTGTAGCTCTGTGATAGAACACTTGCCTTGCATCTCATGGCCCTCCCTGGGTGCAGTCCTCAGAATCTCCCCATCTCACACAAATTTATGTCTGTACTCATTTTTATAATTAAGGTTTGGAGAGCAGAGAGTGATTAGTGTAAATCTAGTTTCAAAAAATTACTTATTACCTTTAAAAGATGGAGAGTAGAAATTTTAAAAATATAAATTATGAAAATGTATTAAGAAAGGAGTTTATAGCAAAAGATCCATGAATGTGTATTAAACTTTCTTTGAAAATTGCCCGCTGTTTCACTTCAGCTGCTACTTAGCCAATCCGCTGAGTATTGTATTAAGAACATCTTGATGCCCATTAGGTTTACACTTATAATGCTACTTTTAGGCATCTGTTTTGTTCAGCACTTTTTGAGCAATTACTATTAATGGACTTACAGACATGATCCCTGAACTCAAAAGGTACTCAATCTCTGATCCTTTCCTTTGTCACACTTTTAGTACTTTGTGGATTTTGTTCGTTTGTTTGTGGTGCTAGCTTCTTTCTTCATGTGAATCTTCACACTTACATGAATTACTTCTTTTCCCTACTTCCAATCTTATCTTTCTTCAAGCCAGTTCTTTGTACCACAAGCCAAGTCTAGTCCTGTTACTTTCCAGGTTAAACTCTTTCAGTAGCTTCCCACTATCTGTTATAAAGTCAAGGCTTATTTGCTTGGTATGCAAAGTCCCATGTGACTTGGCACTGCCCAGGATGTTTCTGCTGAGACTCTAACACTCTGCCTTCTCCGTACTCCCTTACATGGTCAGACTGAACTTTCTAACATTCTCCAAACAAGTGTTCTCTGCCTCTCTTGGGCCTTTGCATTGCTCTTTTACCTATCAGGATGTCCTTTTCCTGTGATTCTCCCAATGATGGTCTAATACTCAGGTTTTTTTGGTGCCGGGGATCGAACTTGGGAACTTGCGCTTGCAAGGCAGGTGGCGGCACCACTGAGCTAAATCCCCAGCCCTAAAACTCAGTTTTTTAAGGCTGGGTTCACATGTCAGTTCCAAGAAAACTGTCCAGATTGTACTGGAAAGTCATCCCTTTTGCTGTGCTTCCATAGCATATATCTGTGCTGTAACATGCATTGTTTTACAGTGATTAATCTGTCCTGTCCAGTATACCCTAGCTCCTTGAAGGCAGGGAATGACTTTTTTGTTGTTGTTAAATTTCACAACTATAGTGTATAGCCTATTGTTTTTTTTTTTACCTTACTAAGATGCCCTTAAATCTTTTAAGAAAGAATATTTCCTCCCATATCCCAAATTTAGAGTTATTTCTTCCTAACACTAAAGGTGGAAAAACAGCAAACCCTCTGGCATCATGTGAATCCAAGTTCTGTCCTCTTTGTTAGTCATTTCATGTTATTTTTAGGTTATGAACAGGACAGATCAGACCCTGGATGACCATAGAGTGGCGAGGCTACATCAGTCCTGAATACTGGTCTGTTGGGACTGGTGTTTGAAGGCAGGTTGGCCAGGTGACTATAGCATTTACTGCTTGTAGAGTTTCCACCCCTTTGATGATATTTTGCCATCAGTGTACAGAGGTGACTCATCCTAACCCTCAGATGCTTTAAAGTAGAATTTTGCGCTTTTTAGCATGATTGTATTAACGTGATTGAAATTAAGATGTTATATACATGTACCAATTCTCCACAAGGAATGTGATCATTGTGTACCGCAAAAATGTATTTATAAAAAATAAAAATTGAGAAAAATCTTACATGTTTGACCCTCCAGCTTCCCTTTGTCTTTTAGGTAAGAACTCAGGGCCCTATCCTCACTGCAAGTGGCAAAAATCCTGTAATGGAGCTCAATGAAAAAAGACGAGGTCTCAAATATGAACTCATCTCAGAGACTGGTGGAAGCCATGACAAGCGGTTTGTAATGGAGGTGTGTGCCTACATACATGCCATTCTTATGGTCTTCTCACAGACAGGATATCCTGGCCTGATATATAAAAAGTTTTAGACTTTGTCAGTTCTTTTGGAACTACTTAACTTCTGGTGCTTTCCATGTTATGGAATGTTAAAATTAAAACTTCATAGAGGAATTGCATGGGATAATTGCAAAGTGATGTTCTTTATTTCAGGTAGAAGTAGATGGACAGAAATTCAGAGGCGCAGGTCCAAATAAGAAAGTAGCAAAGGCAAGTGCAGCTTTAGCTGCTCTGGAGAAGCTGTTTTCTGGACCCAATGCAGCAAATAATAAGAAAAAGAAGATTATTCCTCAGGTATGAGTTAAACAAAACCTTTGCAATGTCTTTGGAAAATGGTGTAAGAATTAAATTCCTATGTGCTACTTTTAGCTTTTTCTGAGGTGGTTCTTTTTCATGAATTTGGCAGCTTTTTCTTTGAATTAGATCGTTAATAATATACATTAGGAACTGTAAGTCCCTGTTCTGTGGTTTTGTGGGCAAATTATATTTATAAAAGAGAGGCTGTTGACATTATTGGGAGGGTTGAGGTCATTCTTGATGAGGTAAGATGTTGAGGCGAGCTAGGCTTTCTGTAGGTGTGAGCTTTTGTCTTGCTCATCGCTGCCAGGCTGCTTCAAACTGCCTGTGGCTCACTTTCCTTGAGTCTGCAGATGCTCTCCCACTTCCTTCCTGCTGTGTCCTTCTGCATTGTGTATTTGGGGCTTTCCTCTGTGGCTGGTACAAAAGGTGACACTGTACTGTGTCTGAATTACTGGCAGCGCCACTGGAGGCCTTCACAAGGAATTTGGATAACACAGTCTCCCAATTACATGCTTTTCAATACAAGACTCTTCCATCCATTTATGTATCAAAAATATTTTTTAGATATGTACCATGGGCATGATTATATGAGAAAAATATATGTGAGTAAATTTAAGACATTCTCTGCCTCATGGAGAGTGCTGGTGTAATAGTAATATGTGAATATACTGTGTGATAGAAACAATGTGTTAAAAATGCTTACTTTGATAGGAGTATCTTTAGACTATTTAAATTTCTATGTTAAACATTATATTTAGATTCTGTTACACATGTCAAATTTATTGATCTCTTTTTAAGAAGAGAGAGGCATATCCTCCCACAGTTAATACAGGGTAGAGATTCCCTTTCAACCTGGATCTTCTCCGTCCAAAGGTGACGGTCATTCTATTAATGTTATATCCACCGAGACAGTTGTTTTGTATTGAGTCAAACTTCTTGTGTCAACTATAATAAACACTATTACATTCTAGGAGTCATAGTATAAACAAAACCAATTTTTACTGAGATTAAATAAACATAAAGCCTTTAAATTACATATGTAGAAAATAAGATCTCTTTTTTTCTAAAGCATTTAGTAAATACAGGTCCAAATACAAACTAGATTAAGTAGAAAGGTCATTCTTCCCTTATATACATATGTATGTATGTATGTATTTCTCCTGGGTTACATCTTATATTTAGACAGTTAATTTTACTGTTTAGAAAGCCTAGGTACAAATATTTATTAGGTAGTTTAGTTTTTCTCTAGTAGAGTTAGATCTGTGTGGAATCTCTCTGCTGCTGCCAGTTTATTGCTTCCTGACTACTTTCAACTAAGCCATATTGTTAAAAAATGTTCACTCATTTTTAGAATTTTTCCATACTAGAAGCTGTAAAACTTTTTTGTTCAGTGTGCATGACAGCTGAGAATCAGTCTTATTTTGGATGTGTGGGTTGGTTTATTTTAGGCAAAAAGAAAAATGATTGTCCCTGTGCACAATACATTTGACCTTGAAAGTATCCTCTGGGTGGTCATAACAGACAGAGGGTAGTAGCTATCCTGGAAGGAAGGAGGGTGATGATTTTTCCATGTGAGATGAACATGTGCGTCCTCTGACTCTTAGCTTCTGAGGCTGTTGACTTGATTGGACAGTGCGCTTTGGGGCTCTGCACCACTTTCCTCTCACCTTGGGTATAGTAGGGAATTTTAGTGTTTTCTAGTTTTGAGTATATATTTTATACTAAAATATATTTGTGTAATATATTTAAGTGTAAATAGTAAGTATAATATTTAATTTAAAACCTGATACCATTTGATGTTCTTAAATGTTCAGTTTCCACTTCTTTTCAAAGGGGTTTCATATTTGTTCTCTCAGTTGCTTTTTCTAAAGTGAGGCAAACAAAGTCGTTATCATTAGCCTCATTTTACAGTTACAGGGGAGACTGCCAGGAGAGCTATTATGTGACTTCACCAGTGTTCCATGTCATTTTAGAACAAGAAGGAATTTTAGAGGTGGTATTTAATAATTGATATAGAAAAAGATAGGCACATATATAAATATAGTAGAATAAACAAGCTTAAAAAAATCTCACAGGGCTGGGGATTTAGCTCAGTGGTTATGCAGCAGCAGTGCCTGCTGCGCAAGCGCAAGGACCCGAGTTTGATCCCTGGTACCAAAAAAACCCGAAAAACAAAAAAATCTCATGACCTTTCTGAGGTCACAGACGAGGACCTGCCACCCTCATCTTTGGTCTTCCTGCCTTAGTCTGTTCTTTTTTTTTCTTTTAAAAATTTATTTTATTTATTTATTTTTTGGTACCGGGGATTGAACTCAGGACCTTGTTGCCTGCAAGGCAGGCACGATGCCACTGAGCTAAATCCCTGGCCCTGTCTGTTCTTTTTTTAACCCCAGGCAGTTTCACAGCTAATTCTAGATAATTTGTTACTGGGATACAGTCTGCCTCTGAGTAGAAAATCCAGTGGCATTTGAACCTGGGTATCCAGTGTCTATAATTACTTAAGTCAGGTCGAAAATGACTTGGAATGTAATTCAACAACTAAAATTTGTGGTAAAGTACAAATTCTTTCAAGGGTGAAAGTGTTAGCTGAATACTTTATATGCCCAGTATATTCTTCAGAACAGCTCTGTAAAGCAGGTATCATTTTTGTGTTGTAGAAACATCGTTCCTTATGGTGGTTGTTTGTCAAAGAGAAGAAAAGCTGATAGTTCTTTCTCTCAATGATAAAAATATGTTATTTTTTAAAGGCAAAGGGTGTTGTGAATACAGCTGTGTCTGCAGCAGTCCAGGCGGTTCGAGGCAGAGGAAGAGGAACTCTGACAAGGGGAGCTTTCGTTGGGGCTACGGCTGCTCCTGGCTACATAGCTCCAGGTTAGTGCTACCTGTGAGACACGAACTGCGCCCTCTGAGCTCAGGTCTGAGGAACAGCATGTCATTCATTTTGCAAGGGTTTACGGGGTCTCTGGAAATATAACCCAGGTATTAGATGAGTGTACACAACTTCAGAAGAAGGGAATGTCATAGTTTTTCTCCTGAAGTCTACTAAGTACCTAGAGCCTTCCTGGAAGGAGGTGACAGATAAGCAATATTGTATTTGGTTGGGGAAGGCATTTTGATGATGGGGAATCCAAAAGACGCTCCACAGATCCAGGGGTTTGCACATCTAAGCAGGTTGTGTTCTTTGGGGACATGGAAGTTGGGTTGAGTGTAACAGGAGAGAAAAATGATTAGGAAGCTTCTTAATTTTGGCGAAGCTCGGCATTATTACCATTTGCTAAACTCAGTGTTTGAAAACCATCAAAGGCAAAAGTACAGAAAGAAAAAAAGAACTTTTTATCCAGAACTTACTGTTTACCACATATTTTCATACAGATAATTTCACTTAACCATTTGGTACCAATCCATTTATTTAAATACAGGATGACCAAACGTTGCGTATTTTTAACAGGAAGTATAAAAGCTACAATTTTATCAAATTTATTCATTATAAGAATCGACTGGTTGAAATGACACCTGCTTGGGATAGTATGCAACCAAATGTGCAGCCTGAGCGATGCTCCACTTGGCTTGAGGGAGATCTGGAAAGCTGCCTTCTCTCTTCTTTCTTGTTAACCCATGTATTATTTTAGACAAGGATGTACACCTGACTTGTTAAATGAAGTTTTTTGCAGTATTGAAACTGTGGAACTATTTCCTTATTTACGGAATCCACTTGTAGTTGATCAAGATGAAATTCTATCTAAAGAATGGGGCTTATGCAATTGTTATTTTTAAGGTAACATCCCTTAGAGTTCTGTTAGATTGTGTTTTCCTCTGAGAGTCAGAGTAGGTCATTTGAGAAGTTTTGTGAGTGATGTAGCTTTGGAATTATACCATTAAAAGTTAATCCCAGGTATATCTCTTAAAGGTGTCTCAAAAAGAAAGAGTATGCCTACTTTGTCACATACCTGGAATTTGCTCTCATGCAACTTCCGTTGTGAAGGGTGAAGCATGTTAATCAAGTAATAACAGTCATAATGTGAGATGATTTTGATGATGGAGGAGGACATCAGGCTATGGGAGTGTGTGATGGAGGACCCTGCTGTAGTCTAGTGGAAAAATTGGAGAAGGAGTAAGTGTTAACTCAGAAAAGACCAGAGTGAGACATTGTTGCACTCGTGGAACTGCATTTGCTGTGGCGGTGTCAGTGGGGAGCTTGGCTCATCTGAAGAAGGTCTAAATGTGTGGAGTGCAGAGAGCCTTAGGTGGAGGAAGACACCAAGGAGTAATGTGAGTTAACCACTTACCAATCCAATTATTTAAATACAAGACCAAAAATTGCATTTTTTGGATAATTTTAAGAAGATAATATAACAGGAAATTTAAAAATGGCAATATAATCAAATTTATTCAATACAAGAATCAACTGGTTGAAATGACACCTGCCTGAGCGATGCTTGGGATAGTCTGTATGCAAACGGAAAACACTGCCCCGGTGATGCTGGGAGTGAAGTGTGTGTTCAGTGATTAAAGTGGGTAGCTCAGATTGGATCTGGAGATGATGGCTTGGATTTTGTGATCTTCCAATCCTAAATACAGTGGGAAGTCATGAAGCAGAGAAGTGACAAGATCAGACTTGATTCTATACTGTGAAGAATAGATGCCGGGCCAAGGATCAGCATGACAAGACCTGTTAGAAGGCTGATGTAGATGAGTCACCAGGTGCTGGACTCAGGCAGCCAGGGGATACAGAGCACTAAATGAGTGGTAATTTGTGAAGAGACTGAAGGAATAGATAGAAAGCAAAATTGATGGATGGAATGTATAGAATGTAAAAGAATGAGGTTTCAAGAATTGCCTAGGAGGAACTGACTGCAATGATTATGCTATTTAATTAGCTAGAAAACACTAAAGGTAAGCACTAAAGGGAAAGAACATGTGAGTTTCTTAGCAGATTCTTCTGTGCATCTCTCACTTTCTCTGCTGAAATTTAATATTTTTAGCCTCATTGCATTATGGAAAGGGCAAAGCTTTCATTGAATAATAATGGACAAGTTACTGAGATGAACCTTTCCACTGGGACTTCACTTGGTTGTGTCTGCTATTGCGCGATCTTGGGCTGTGTGCCTCCTGCTGGAGGGGTGGACAGCTGTGGTTGAGTATGGCGGTCATTACAGGAATTATTCATGTCTGCTGGGTGCCAGGCTCGTGGCTTCTCTCTTATGTCGTTGCTTTGACCTCTCTGAAAGGCCTGTCTCCTGAAGCTTTTAGAAAGGAAGTTCTTTAATGGCTTTGAAAAGATTCAGATTAGGTCTGTTTAGATTATGAATAGGTCATGTGCCATTTGTGGAGTATATTCTGTGCAACTAGGACTGTCATAGATGTTTCTACACATAAAGTTGTTTGCCAGCTCAGTTACTGCACATGACACTGAGGCTCCGAGAGGTTAAATAATCGGTACAATTTAAAGACACCTTGCCAGTAAAAAATAAGTCAAGGTTAGAATCCCAGGGGCCTGATTAGTGACCAGCTTAGCAGTTATAATTTCATCTCTCTTTAAGGAGATTTTGTTAAAACTTTGAAACTGTAGCTGTAACAAAACAGCTCCCATTTCCTGGAATAGATTTGATGTACAGCCTTTTTAAAGCATTAATTTTTCTTTTGGCCTCTGCTACCACCTTCTGTTCTACTGCTTATTTCAGCTATATTGTGTCCTCTTGAAATACATGATTTAGTGAGCACAAAGACTGAGTTGTACTACTCCAAGTTGTATATGATTTAAGTATAGACTAAAAAGCAAAAAACCGTTATTTGATGCCTAAAAGCAGTGCATTTCTTTAGCATACATTTGAACGCTTTGTCTCACACAGGAGATTGAAAGCTGGGCATGGAAAGATGCCTGAGGCCTATACTACATCCCAATGAATGCTCAGGATCACGTGGGGTGGGAACAGACCCTTGAATAAGCACAGTGCACTGTAATGCAGGCTGTAACATGGAGTGTACAAGCAATAGACAGCTTGGGAGCCTTCCCAGGGGAGATGGTATCTGATCCTGATCACAGGAATGAGTTGCAATTGGTCATCCAGAGGAGGCAAGGAAAGTCATTCTGAGTAGCAGAAATGGTTCTAGGAAAAGAATTGTAATAAGAAAATCTTTTGTTTTAGGTGCAGATTTGTGTAGGGCCTATGTAGATGTTGTATCCTTCTTCTGTTTTAGAAATAAGTTCCAAAAATTTAGTCAAGTGATTTTATATTTGCATATTTTTAGGTGGTTTTTCTGAAAAAAATTGCAGCTTCTAACCATGACACTCTCATCTCTACAATACTGTAACTTAGCTTGGGAGGTTTCCCTTATTAAAGACAAGAAAACCACAACTCAAATATAACATCTGCAAGTAAGGAGATATAAGAAATCAGAACTAATTGGCTCAAAAACATCTGAGTTTTGTACTAGTTTCTACTAATAATGTGAGTGTTTCTCAGGTGCCAGTGTCAAGTTCAGTAACATTTACTGGGAGACCATGTGCTGGGCAGGCACTTAGGTATTAGCAAGTCATAGACCTCACCCCTGGGCTCACATGTCCTCTTTAATGATATTTGAAGCCTTGGCCTGTTCTGCTACTACTTTCTCAAATTAGACTTGGAACGTTCTGTTTTTCAACTTTAAGAAATTGGTAGTTTGAATGGTTTGGTGTATCTTTTTGTTCAACAAATGATGTATATGTTGTGAGGTTCGGAAAATGTAAAAATGAGTAAGATAGGTCTCTGCCACTCTTGTGATCACAGACAAGAAGTTGGCAGTTAGAATATAGTGTAGAAATCCTGTGAGAGAGGTGGGGTATTGTGGTAGGTCAGGGAGAAGCTCATGGGCTGTGGTCAGAGGCTTCTGTCTAAGCAGGCACCAGGAGCCACCATGCCAGGAGACCTCAGAAGTTCTCTGGTCCTAGGGTGCCAGGCCAGGTGGGCCACTGCCACTTGTCCTTAGTCTTGGACTGATCTGCTTTTTTTTCTTTGCACTAGGCTATGGAACACCATATGGTTACAGCACAGCTGCCCCTGCCTATGGTATGTACACCATCTTACTGATTTCTCCTCTTAGCGAATCTGTCACAGCAATTCAAAGCACATTTGTATCCAGGGTTTCAGTAAATAAATCGGAGGACCTCAGACCTAATCATTCTAGTGACCCAACTTAAATTCCCTTTGAAAATGCCACAACCTTGTGGTTCTTGGTTTGGTTGGAGTTGCTCTTCTCTCCGCTTTGCCTGACTGAAGGACTGCTTGTTCTAATTGCCTGTTTCTGACCACATTGAAATTAAACATTTTAAGTAATTCTTACAGCCAACTTACACTCCATTCAAAGGCTACTGAAGGGCCATACTTATTTTCTAGCCTGCCTGCCTGCCAGTTATATAGCTACATTTAAGTTTCTGCTTTGGGATTGTGTAAACTGTAGGTGATTTGAGTCAGGAATAGGAAACACCTCAAATTTGTACCCATTGTCCTTTGCTATACATTTTGCTTTGGGAGCGATGGATGTCATTGATTCTAGAGAGGACATTACGAGGCTTCACTAACTGTGTCCCTTAAGTTCTTTATGCAGAAAGCAGTAGTGTATGCTGGAAAACCATAGGCCTGTCTCTTCTCCCCTAAAGATACAAAATAAGAGCAAGTACATAGATGAACCCCCATGGCCCTTTGGATAGCTTTTGAATGAGGTTTATGTGGCAATGGAGGCAGTAGGTTTGGAGTCAGTGATATGCTCTTAGACATTTTTCCTAACTCAGGTGCTACATGTTATAGAATCAGCCATCTGCGGGGTGCTTGTCATTGAGAGAAGGAGAGAGAGGGGAGAGAGAGAATGTATGTGTATGCGGTTAGCGTGCATGTAGTGTGCACATGAGAGTGTGGCCCCAGGCTGGGTGTGTGTAGTCACAGAAAGCAAAGGCCCTTCACATATTGCTGTTTGTGGCATGAATCCTCTACATGAGCCTCAGACCTTCATATTGTGCCTTTTCTCTTCACACTTCAGCTTTGCCATTTTTGTTTGGATGAAATTTATGAGCCTTTAAGACATTGCTAAACTGAACCTTCATTTGATTTCCTAATTGCAAAAATAAGTAGAAAGTGAATAGTTTGACCTCTTTGCCCATTAAGGTACCCAGTTAATATCCTGAAAAGATGTAGACAAGTGGCAAGGGTCACCCATTTAGAGTGAATTTTCTTTGGGTAAAGCGCAAGGGCTGGACTTTGAGCCTTTCTGTAGAGTCTCCTCTGGCACACTCAGGTGTAACCAGGGCTTCCTATGTTCTGAGCTGGAGCCATAGGGGCAGGTGGGAATTAGGGACTATTTTCAAGCGTATGGTTTCACCCATATTTCCTTCTGATTCACATGCTCTTTTTTTTTTTGGTACTGGGGATCGAACTTGGGCCCTTGTGCTTGCGCAGCAGGCGGTGAAACCACTGAGCTAAATCCCCGCCCTCTAGTTCCTTTTGGTTTGGACATTGGCATTTGCCCTTCAGCTAGGCTCTGGACACCCTCTCCACCTCGTCCTTCCTGAGCTAAGTCTGGTCAGGTAATCCACATACAGTGCCAGTGACGTGCTAGTTCTACTGTATATTGTGTGAGTTCCAGAACATCTGCCTCCTAGGCTGGTTTTTGAGCCTTTCAGTCATATAGTAAGTTTCAGATTCTTTGGTAAAGGTTTGGTAGCACTTACCTTGTCCCTTTAAAACATTTTCTATCTAGGCTCCAAGTTACATCTGTGTTTCCTTCAGTCTTTTTAATTTTTCACTCTTGGTCCTCCCTTTTCTCCTTTAACATTATACTTTCACCCTCTGGCCTCTGAGCCTCAGTTCAGAAGGCTCCTTTCTTCCATGTGCCATATAACTGACTTCCAAAGCTGGTGAAATTTGATGCCCCCATTTTTCACATAAAAGATTTGGTTTTTAAATGTTACTGTGATGCAAACCTACTAAAACAATGCTTTATTTTGGCTGTAAGGTAAATATGTCTTTTGGCCTTTGTAAAGCTGTTGCATGTGGGGTAACTTCCCTCTGATCATCTGGTGCTCCTGAATACCTGCTGTTGCTGCTTTGTGATTTCTCCATACATTAAATATTAGATAGGAATAGGGGCAGATTTCAAATCCTGCCTGAGTATGCAGAAGTTTGTGAGGCCACAAGAACGTATTAATTACAAAATTAAGAAAGTAATTAATCTTTCCAGATTTGCCATGCCAATACTGGCAGTAGCCATTAAGAAGATAAACAAATGCCTGGTCACAGCTATGGAGCTGTCTTCCGGGGAGCTGAGGCCTGCACAAAAAGCTATGCTTTGCATCTTGACTTAATATGTGATATGCCAAACTGAGAACCAGTATGGATTTGTAGAGTCACTTCAGAGTAGCAATCAGTAGCATTGCTTTTGATCTTTAGAATATAATTATGCAGTTCACTCAGTTGTCATTTCTGAATATCATTCTTCCTATCATGTAACCATCTTGCTTTTGAATAGAAAATATTATTTACCACCATATAAGAGCAATTTCAAAACAGGAGATCTGTGAGAGATTTGTGGGCCTCTTTCAAAATGGTACCTGTTGACTGACTAATCTGGAAAAGGTTAATGATACCTAATGTAAGATATTTTTTAACCTGAAATTTTTATTGGCATATTAAACTTATTTGGAGTCCTCTCCGTTTCTTTTCTCTGTAGGTTTGCCCAAGAGAATGGTTCTGTTACCCGTTATGAAATTCCCAACATATCCTGTTCCCCATTACTCATTCTTTTAGCAAATGACAGAAGCTCATTCCTATTGAACAACAGTACAGTACAATACAGAATGTTAGAGAAAAAGCCTTTTTATCCTGCTTTCTTTGAACACATACTTGATCAAAATTATTTGTAAAGAACATCTTTCCTACTTTTTGATTTTAACAAATGCAAATTTAGTTCTCTAAAACTTGAAAACAGACAAAAAAAAAAAAAAGGAAACCAGTTCTGTGAAACGGTACCTCATTTCTGGAAAATAATTTATACCGGCCCTTATGTTCTAGAGAAATAAAAGTCTAGCAGTTCAAAGTTTAAGTTTTAAGAGAGTATCAGATTATGTAAAATTAAATTTGTGAAGGATGTACAGAGTCTCAAACACTGATCACAAATAAACGGCTTTGTTGTAACGCAGAGTGCCGCCTGGTTCCTACTGCAGACACTGGTTCTCAGCTGCTGGAGATGTGCTTGCCCCAGGGCACTTTAATTTGGGCTGTAGTTATTTTTTTTAATACAATAGAGACTTTTCATTTAAACTTTAACTTTGTAAATAATGAAGTGTGTAATTAAAGCCAATAAAATATGGGTTTGAATATTGTTTTAGCTTATTATTTTTGATATGTTTTGGTATCAGATTACAAGGAATTGCAAACTAATAATAACTTAGCCCTAGAAGCCCATTCATCTGTAAGCAAAACTGCTAAAACAAAGCAAGGCGATTGTTAGTTTGAGCCAGGCTACGTACTTTGTAAGCCCTTTGTACTCTGGTTGTACAAGGGTGTCCCCACGTAAAAGGTTACATTCTGTTACCCCAGCATTGCTTATTACAATGATGGCCTTACCCAGAGATGGGGATGGAGGAATGTGATCATTTTAGTTTACGAATTTCCAAGTTTTAAAAAATAAATTAACCAATCAATCACCTTCTTTTGTTCTTGTGGCCTTCTTCACTCTGTAAGATTTTGTGTTCACTCCCTGGCCTTTTCATGCAGATAGAAGGTTAGGGACTTTTCTGGGATTCGTTGAAGGGTCTCCTTTCCTCTTCAATTACATCAGAATCTAAAGCAGCAACAGGGTCCCCATAAAAACTTGCTCTTCGATTGTCCCAGTTCTTGTTGAGTGCTGCTGTGGAAAGTGACAGGTTTCAGCCATGGGTCAGCATTTGTTTTTAAGACACCTGATTCCGCTGGTGGAAATCGATCAGTCGGTAACATTGTGCTATTCTGTAAAGGGTGCAGACTGAAGTCTCCACTCGCATTCTCACCTTGTTTGGAAAGCTGATGATGTTACAAGAAGGTAATGGTTTCATTAAGGTATTCACCCCCATGAAGGCAGAGGCACGGTCCCCATATTGACGAGTTGCTGTGGCTTGAAAAATGTCTGTTTTTAGTTTGAATTAGCTTTTTTCTTCTGTATTAAATTCTGCTTTTCAGAACTACATAGTGCCCATCAGTGAAAGTGGGCTTCACATAATATGGCAAATTTATATGCCAGATATCTTTGGGACCGCTAAGTAAGGGTGATATGGGCAGTGTAACACAAATGTTAGTGTCATTTCTCAGATGTATATTATGTAATAATTTGTTTCTTCTCCTTGACCTATTCTTAGTGGTGGGTGATACTTTAATAAAACCTCATCACTTGCTGGAAGTAGCTGTAACTTATCATTGTCATCCTGTGCATTAGTGGCTAGACATAAACAACAAGGGCCCATTTCAGCTGGGGGTTTTCATGTTTCATTGATTCGTTTTGCTGACCTATGGATGAAACAGAGCCATCACTGAGAAGAAAAAGCATGGCTGGTAGTGTCCACTTTTTATTAATTAAATATTTGCAATAGTGATTTGTTTTTGGAATACTGTTAATTGGCAGCTGCAGTTGTTACTGTTACTTGAAATTGATTGTCAAATTCGGATTCCAAGTTGGAATCTCCCTGGAGATCTCCTCAGCAAAGTCTTTTAAAGTAGCCAACTCTGCTTCATACCCTCTCGATGGAGAGGGAGCTGTGCTGTTTTCCAACATGATGGCAGTCATTCCAAATGGTTTCTACCAAGTCTTTTGTTTTAATTTAATTTTGTTGTTTGTTGGAAGTTACTAACCATGTTGTAAACCTGCCCAGTTGCTGCAAACTTTTACATTTCTCTGCTTTACTTAAAATAATCGAGCTGTCAGTCCTTTGTTAGAAGTGGTAACCATGCAAGTTCAGCTGTTGAAATTCTGTAATGAATTAAGTGTCCCCCACCTTTTGCCCTTCCCACCCCTCCATTTTGTAATGAAAATTCCACTTACAGCTGAAAGAGCAGAGAAATATAAATGAAGCTCTTGGCTTCACCAAATTGTATGAAATTAACATGAAGTTTTGCTTCTCTGCTCTTTTCTCCGCTGTAGGTGGTTTTTTCATTGACAGCCCCTATTGCCAGCCTCTGAGCGTCGCACCATTTATTATTCACTTGGGCCCTCAAGATTTCTTCTCTGACTTCTAGAACCATCAGGTTGTCTGGCTTGAAATGGCAATTTCTGTGTCTTGGTCTTAAGAGCAATGTGACACCCTGAGGCTTTCCAGCTTTCAGACACACCACTCTGACACCTTCTCTTTGAAAGCACTGACTGAGCATTTTAAAGAAGAGCAATACTTTGTCCAAAGCCACGGTGTCTGTTTTAAAACTTTTCCTTTGGAAACCTAGCAATATCTGTACTTAACCCCTTTAGTGTAGCTCTTGTCAGGGAGTCTACAGACCAATGTAGAACTTAGAAATCGCGTGCGAACTGTGCTATCTTCTGACACTTTTAAACTTTTTTAGCACATAAATTGAATAGTTACATTCCTGACTGCGTCAGTTAGAATTAGTATAATTTCACTGAGTTAGGGGTCCTCCTTGAAGCCATATCTTTTGGTGGGGGCTGGTGCCTCGCCAGGGATGTGGCTGGCAGCCTGTGTCTCTCCAGGCTGCAGCAGTGCCCCATCCCTCGAGCCAGGTGATGGTCCCATAGATCTCTTTCCAACATACCTCATGTTGACGGGGTGGAGCACACAGTAGGCGGAGCAAGGAGTCGGGTTTATGTAGTTGCCGAAACTGTAATCTCTCTCAAATTGTTAACCTGGGAACAAACCACTGGTCAGTTTTGCTGGTGTTAGCCTTTTCTTTTCTTTTTTAAAAGTTTGGGTGGATGTTTGAAAATCATGAATCAGTCACCATTATTAATTGAAGAGCTGAGAATACCTCGTTAATGTATTTTTTAAAACTGGTGTTGGACCCTCTGTGTATTTCAGGTTAATACTTTTAAGCAGTTTTCAGCACGTTTATCTCACTTTATTCTCGTTCTCCTCGGACCTTCGTAGCCATATCACTTGTATAAAATAGGCTGAGATATAGTGACTGTAAGCTGTGATCTCAGTATACAAAGGTAAGCTCTTTTATTTTCTGATTAAAGAGAAAAATAAGCAATTAACACAACTTGGATATATGACAATCATATATGATGTATTTGATCTCTTAGGTCTTATGTCATCACATTACCTTGAAAAGTTTTATGGTCTAAATGTAAAATAGTTATTTTCAATATTTGTTTTACTACCCTTGTAAAATGCTTTTTATTCAAGAGAGATATTTCATGTTCACTAAGTTGAATTTGTGTATGTGTGTAGAAACTTAGGCTATAACATGTATATAAATCACACATACAGGTACTTGTTTAAATTTAGAATTAAGTGGTAGGAACAATTCACCTAAGATGTGTTTAATGGCAGGGCACTCTTTTGTCCAAAGCGTTGGAATTTCAGAAGCAGCAAGATTGGAGACAGTGCTGGTGTGATCCATATATGTAGCTGTTACATAAGCCGAGGATCAAAGTGCCAATTTCTCAAGGAGAGAAACTTCTCTGAGAAATAAAATCTCTGATCTGTGTTGTATGCTCCAATACAACAGCAAGAAGCCATAAAAAAAAAGCAATAGAAAATGAAAAAAAAAAAAAACCAAACTATTAAGGTAACTATGGGAAAAAATATAATTGACAGAGTTAAGCTACTGATTTGCAGAATTGACTGTAGTCTCAGAAAGGTGAATACCAAGTCTGCAGAGACCAAATAGACTTAAGGCAGTTTGTCTCTTTTCCTGGTTAAGTAGCTAGAATATTTATTTCCCGCCATATTCAACCATCCTGGAGTTTATTTCAAAGATGTGAGGATTAGACCAAATATTTTAATCAGGACTTGGCTTCGTTTAGTGTGTCCCATAAATGCATTTCATTATGTATTCGATGTTCTGTGCAAAGGCTGTGTTTGATACACACACACAAAAATGGATTTCATATTTTGTATTTGTTTCTAATTGGCAGTTTCTGTTTATTACTAACTTAAAGGTTGCTGGAACAACTTTTTCCCCCATACAGAATCTGGGTGTACATTTCACGAGGCTTTGGCATCTGTGAAGTGTTGTTGTACAAGGCAGAGCTGACTAGTTCCGAGTGCATTGCAGTCCTGTGCAAGCCACCCAGTGCCTACTATGTGCCAGGCCCTTCTATGGGTACCAGAGGCCAGAAGTTCTGTCCAGTGGAAGCATTTAAGTCCGAGAGTCTCTTTGGTGGTGGAATTGGCCCCACTATAAATATCCTACTTTGGGAGACAAACAATATGTTAGCCTTGCCAAGAGAATATTAATTTAGTTAATAGTTTAATTATAAATTTTTGAATAATGTAGGCTTTTTGACATCACTGTAACTGGCATAACCTGGAAATGCATTCATTTAACATATATTTCTGGTCCTTTTGATCATGGACCTCTGTCCAAGTTATGTGAACTGTGTGACACGAATGACAGATACCCTAGTCTTTTTAAGGCAGTGTTTATAGTATGGCAAAGAACAATGTTGTTAACTTTCAACCCTGAGTAGAGGTTGTTGTTGTTTTTTTTTTAAATGACAGTAGAGGAGTTTACCATTGCAGTCAATCATTCACTGTAATTTCTCTGTTTCTTAGATTTCATCAGTAACTGTAGTCCTCAGTTTACTAATACTCAGTAGAGTAGTGAGTTACAGACAAGAGCTAAGGATATTTTTTCCCCCTCCAGGCAGTTAGATTTCTAGTAATTAAGAGCCTTAAAAGACCAGGAAAAGGTGAAAGAGCAGTGAAAGGTAAAAGCAGTGCGCTGTGACTGGCCTCCCTGTAGTTCCCATCCTTCCTGTGCCAGTGCCTTTTGAGGGCAGTGGAGGCACCTCTGAAGTCACCTAGAACAAGAAAAGTGCCATGGTCTTCTCTGCCCACTAGCAGCCTGGTAGCAGACCACCGAGTGGCCGTAGGTTCCTCAGTGTTAGTAGGCAGCCTGGAAGGGAGTTGGTGGTAAGTGAATAACAACAGCAGAGTGGGAAACTGCTGCTGAGGTGAGTTTTAATACCTGTGTGTATCTTGCTAGCACTTATGGAGCACAGCATTTCTTATATAAGGGCCTGTTTTTTCCAAAGAGCATCTTCCAGAAAGACTTTTAAGTCAAGAATTCAAGTTGAATTAGTTGTAAGAATAGATATCCCTCCCACATTATCATTTCAGTTAGGAGCCAACAGCTTCCATTGATGTTTGAAGCAGTGATCTTTGGAGATTTTAAAAATAGTACTGTAATGCAAATTGGGTTATGTAAGCTTTACAGCACAGCTAGAAATAGGAAATAGAAACCATGTGGGAATCTGGGCCAGAGTATTTCACTCCAGCATGTTCCCATGGGGCTTGGGGATCCAGTGAGTTAAACTCAAAAAGTGCTTTGAAGGGTACCTGTCCACCAGGTACTTGGTAAGCACCAGCTCGCTTGTGGTTAGCTGAGGTAGAATGAGGTGTGTGATGGGAGGCAAGACTGTCGAAAGGTGGCTAAAAAGCAGGTATTTTGCCTGCTCAGGGTGAAGCTGTCCTTCATGCTGACTGGTTTGGGCTGCTTTCAGGCTTAGGGAGAGGACTCCGAACTCTAGGGGGTTCAACAAGAAACACTGACACCCACAATTCTGCTGTGATAGTTCGAATCACCAGCCAATCTCTGCCCAGGGTTTGTAAATACTTAGTTTGGGATTTAAGGGTACTTAGAATTTCATAAGGGCTGAGCGTAGATGTCTACCTGCTGATTTCAAGTTTCTTGCCATTGCATTAATAATAAAAGCTGGTGTTTGATTACGGCCACTGCCAGAATCCAATCTTCAAGGCTCAAAGAGACTGGTGGGTGGAGAGCAAGTTATTATTATAGACCGCAGAAAGGAATGGAGGGTCCTAAGAAAGCTGCGGACTCAGATCCTAAGCTAAAGTCCTACAGCTTGTCTTTTGTAGTTTGTTCTGACACTGAGAGGAAAATCTGTACTCATCACCATATATGACCACTATTCAAACTACTCAAACTTGGTGTCTCTGCCCATCTGTCCATTTATCTGCCTGTCCTAGATACACTTGGGAAGTTCTGTTTGACAAGAGGAAAAATAGGTAGATGGTGACACTGCTATTGGGCTGAATACCTAGTATTCCTGGTTTGAATATATTTGTAAGACATCAGCAGCCTCTGATGAAAGGTGAGCAGCTGTATCCCTGGCTGTTGGCAGGAGGTTAGCTAAGTGGGGAATACAGATTGAGCTCCGACATGTTGTAAGTTTGTAAAAACCCTGTGAAGAAGTACAAAATGTAACCTTCAAGGAGCTCGGTAAGATAGATTTGGCTTGTAGTCAACAGGTGTGTTCATAAATCCAAGAGATAGTTGTGTAACTGATGTCCTGACAGAAGTTTCTGCATTCATTCCTTCTCAGCTGAAGCTGTTGATAGAATCATTGCCTCATTCAGCCAACATTGAAGGAGGGACTTTTTCCCCCCCTTTACCAATTAGTTATTACCACCTGAATTTCTTATTCCAGGGAGGGCCATAGTCTCTTTCTGCAGAATTTTGCTATTTGTGCAAATGATCTGGGCTGCCCCTGCTGGTGCATAGGGTGAAGATTGCCACCACTGGCCCAGGCTGCAGCAGCAGGTCTGTGAAACCATCTTTTTCTGCTGCTGGATGGCCAACAGGGGAGGCGGCATCGGCATGGTTGCTGTGAAGACCTTGTCTCAGCACTGCCAAGGAGCCCGCTGTCCCTCTATGTTGTCTCAGGCTCTCCTATCTTGATCCTGTTGTATAGTGTGGACAAAGGGGCTCTGCCTTCAAGTGTTGATTGACTGACTGCCCCTCAGATCCAGTTAGGGCAGCCATTCCTTTAGGTCATTTGGGCTATAGGCAGCAGATTGAAGCAGGAACAGGAGAGAGGAAGGAAAGTTGCCAGAATTGGCAGCTTGTGTGTGCCAGGCACTTGGACAGTCTTCTTAATTCTTGAAGAGCCTTCTTGGAGGTGGTGGTATTCCTGTTTCACAGACAAAAAGCCTGACATTCCAAGTGATGTGCTAGAGCCAGGAAAGAAACCCAGCTCTGTTCAGTGCCAAACCCTTTCTGCTGCACCACGCTGCAGGTCACAAGGGTGGCTGAGGAGGCTGTGTTGGAACCTGGGCCTCTGACTTGAGGATACTGCAGGCCAGATATCCTGACCTAAAACAGGGAGCGTTTTTAGACCAATTGTGAAAGACTATCTAACAAACTGGAAAGATGAACTGAAAGAGCACAGTGGGACTTTTGGTACTAAACAGGGAGCTGTTGGTACTTAAAGCTTGTTTTTCTGTTTGGCAACATGAAGCCGAGGTACCTGCTGTCACCAGCCCATGTTTCTGGGTGCATGCTCTGCCTGACTCATAAGGGTGATGTCTTCAAAGACATGAGCCCAACTCTGAAGGGAGGCTGGTGAGGCTGTGACCCAGTGGGAAGATGGAAGGGTAGTGGCCCAAGCTTGAGGTGCAGGTATAGGGGCTGTCCCTGGGCAGATAGGAAGAGAGACCGGGACAGTGGCAGATGTAAGGTCTGTTCTCCTTGCCGGGAGCTTGGCTTAGGATGGGCTGCAGGGCAGGCCGCCAGCCTGACGCATGTGCCTTCCCTGGTGTGGGACATGTGCTTGGTAAGGCCAGCTTGGAGAGCTCTGGGGTCTCTGCAGACCACATCCCCAGCTCCTTTGCTGATTGAGATCAACTGGGGCTCTGTTTAGGGTCAGGTGGGTGTGGGGAGGGACACAGAGTCCTTTTCAGGGAGAGGTATTTATTCCTCACCCAGCCCAAATTGTCATCATCTTTGACAATTGACAATTTTTCTGAGCAACACTGCTGTCCTGGAGGGAAAAAGGAAAAAGACAGCTTCTCTAAGCCAAGTTCTAGAGCACTGAGATCCGAGGCAGTGTGACCTCTGTACAGCACCCTGCAGAGCCCCTTCCACACCTGGCCCCACTTCTTGCTCTGCCGGACAATCACTGTAAGGATTGCTGGTCCTGCTCTTTAGATGGAGAAATCGAAGCCCAGAGATCTCTCCGAACCACTCTGCTTGTTTGTAGCAAAACACTGTGGTTCCTAATTAGTTTTTAACCACACAGAAAATAACATTTCATATGCTGTTTTGAAGATTAGCAGAAGCCCTTTCTTAGAGATTGTTTTGAACTCCATAGCTGTGGGTTCTTGAAATGCTTTTCCTTTTGTAGATGAGGAAATGGGGTGTGGGCAAAGTGACTTGTCTGGTCACACAGCTCTCGCAGGCAGAGCCTGTGTACTGTAATGGCACTGTGCCCAGCACTGGTGCTGGGCATTGTTCATTCAGGAGCAGCTGTCCTCCTCTCTCTCAGCTGCATGCTGCTCACCTTTCTCCCCAGACTTTGGGGCTGTATCCTGCACGACTCAAAACCAAACAAGCAAAAACTGAGTCTTCTCTCTGCCAAAAATTCAGGCTCCCTGGGCTCACTCTTCCTTGAGTTCCTTTGGAAGAACAGTTGGTTAGCTTGCTCCAGGACAGGGTGACTGACTAGTCAGCACAGGGCTGGCAGCTAGCTACACATTCAAGTCTTGTTTTTAGACTGTGGAAACAGTTTCACGCTCAGACCCTGTGTATAATAAAGTGCAAATTCTATAACTCCTGGTTAGAGAGCTACTCAGACTGGAGAGGCTGGGGAACATAATATGGGAGGTACGAGTTTTCTGGTCAGCCTCCTCTGCACTTTGGTTTTGGCCCATCCTGGTTAGGTCTTCAGCATAGGCCTTAGCCAAGGAGTCACCCCCACGGTGACACACTTTCCAGAGCATTCAGATGCAGGGCTCTTCTTGGACTCTACTGTCATGTAGATAGTCTCAGAAGTTGCTCCACTTCTAAAACCCCTCATGCCCTTGGAAGCCACATTAAGGGAGAGATGGTGGGCATCATTCATGAGGTGAAAGTTTGCACTCAAGGAAAGCTGAAGGGGCCTCAAAATGAGGTCAGAGGACCAGGATATTGAAGCTAATGAAGGGCAGACCCGGGACGAACCTGGTTTCCTCTGTTAGATGTGTTGTGATTCTATTTATTTAGTGACTGCAATTCCAGATGGGTTAAAACAGAAGCCAGCTGGACGTTCGGCCTAGAGTATGCCTCCCCTGCCATAGATGGAGTGGCCTTGGGGGAGCAGGGTGGGTGAAAGTGAACTCTAGTTTGCTGATTGTGTTCAGAGAGTGAGTTGTCTGGATGGTGTAGAGGAACTTCTTCCATAGGATATCTGTTTGGATTGATTGGTGATATTGCTGAGACCACTGCTCCTTTCTTGGGCAGATAGATTTATTGAGAAAACATTCACTGTTACCTGCTACTTCCTGCCTGGCTCTGTCACAGGCCTAGAAGCAGTTGGAGGAAACCATGAGATGTTCCACTTCAGGAACTGAGGTGAAGGGTGACCATTGGCTGAGGTGGAGGGTGTAGGAAGGAGGAGGGCATTTGAAAAGAATCAGAATCATCTTCAGTGAGAGAGCCACATCAGCAGCTTTGCTCCTGCTGCCAGGGATGCTGTACCCCAGCCCAGCTCCCTTGGTAGGTCTCTCTGCCCTTCAGAAGAGGAGCCAGGCTCTCAAGATGATGTGCAGGGTAGGAAGGGATTAGAGCTGAGTCACTTACATTTCCGGCAGCTCTGATCCAGGTGGCCCAGGCTTCCCATGTGGATGGGTGGAGCTGGGCAGGGGACCTCGGCAGGGGAGGTACTTGTGCACAGAAAGGCTCAGTGCCCTCGGCAGCATGAAGTGCTGTCATGGGACTTGGGGTGGCTAGCAGGGTGGGATGGCAGGTGGAGTACAGGTCTTGGGCCATGTTGAAAGGGACCAGGTGCTGTGCGCTTTCCTGGTTACCATCATCCAACATGGTTAGAGTTGTGGAGGGTATTTGGACAGCCCACGATCAGAAAGGACTGACGAGGTCCAGGTGAGAATGAGGGAGGCTGGCGGAGCTGCAGCAGAGATGGAGGCAGGAGCGAGGTCTGCACGGGCCGGGTCCTCTGCTGGGCACATAGTAAGTAGCACCCAGCCCCAGGCCAGGGAATGACAGTGCCCGCTGGAACAGGAGGCCCGCAGAGCTCTTTTATAAGATGCCGGTTCAGTGGGCAGTGGAGCTAGCGATGGTGCCTCTGACCAAACCATGGAAGGGAGAAGGATGCTGACAGCATGCATGGTGTTGGGACATAGCAGGGCCTCTCGCTGAGCTACAGGTGGGGCTGTGGCAGGAAGTGTCTCTCTCGGCACTGGGCGGACAGGTATGTGGCCAGTCAGCCAGCATCTTTATCATTCCCATTTCTGGGTGCCTGGGCAGTGACAGGTACTGGTGGTCCTTTATACTGAGACCTTTTGTTTTAAATTTTTTTTTAGAAGGTGTTTGTTTTGCACAGGGTGTTGCCACAAAGTTCATGCTGGCCTTGAACTCACTGTTAGCCTAGGTTAGCCTCAAACTCAGTGATCCTCCTGCCTCAGCCTGCAGAGTGCTGGGATTACAGGCGTGTGCCACCACACCTGGCAATTGTTTTCTAACCTGGGCCAAGGCTGGCAAAGAGTCTGGTTGGATACAGCATCTGTGGGACATGGTCATTAGCCAATGGGATGGTGCAGGCTTTCTTTACGGAGTTATTTAAGGAGGGAAAAAGTTGAAACAGATCAGTGAAGGGTTTGCTTTGGGTATCAGTTTTGTGTCAGTCTGTTTGCCACCTCTGCTTCATCATGGTAGGCTAGGAGGTGGGCAACTAAGGAATCAGCATGGGTCCTCCCCCTCCCCCCCGCCCCCTTTCTGGTGCTGAGGATGGAACCCACGGTCAGTGAGTTCACACCTTTACTATTGAAGTGAAAGAGCTGACAGAGCCATGTTAGGCAAGACTACCACAGAGTAACAACCCGGGCGAGCCAGGGTGGGTCCCGCACCTCTGTATTTCTACATCTGTGCTAGAACTCAAGGAACGGCTATGGTTCTGCAGGCTTTGATCAGAGCTTTGGAAAGGTTAAAGGTGTACTGAGACAGCAATTTCACCCATCTTCATGTGGCCAGAATTCCACGACTAGGTGTCTGACCACAGATGGCCTCACCGCTCTGCCCCCATGGGCCACGCAGTCAGACACCACCCTCAGGTGTTAGTATGCAGAGATGGACAGGGAGCAATGCTTTAGCTTGGTGTCTGCAGGCATCTCCTGGAGAGGACTGGATGCTAAGTAACCATTCCAGGCCTTGTGGATCTTGCAGTTGCTGCCACAACTACTTACCTGTCATTACAGCGCAGAAGCAGCCTCCGACAGAGGAGAAGGTGAACGACACTGTGTCCGCTAAGAATTTACTTTCAAGAACAGCAGGCTGTGTTTTGGCAAGCCTTCAGAGATTCCTTAACCTTCTGTCTTACTTGGGACAGGAAACTTCCACCCTCTCTGCTGCCTGGACCCATGCATCTTCCTGTGGCAGCTGTTGCCCAAAGGGGACTTAGGTAATTGAGTGACAGGTAGGACACTGAAAGGGGAAAACAGGTGGGTATAGAGCAAAATACAGTGTAGGAAGCGATCCCAACTTCCCCTCCTCTTCTGGGTCCTGGAATAGAGAGAGGTGGGGAAAGTTCTTCCCAAAGGGACAGACTCTGGTGGTGGAGGAGACAGCATCATGGTGCCAGCCTGGGAAGGGCCTTGCCTGCCAGGCCGGGGCATGAAGGCTTGGCTCCCAGGGTGATGGCTGTTCTGTTGTGCTTGGGGGTAAAGTCATCACCAGCACCTTCAGAAATGGCTGCAGTTGTGGGAGACCATATCTGTAATTACAAATTACACCTCTTGGTTTAGGCTGGATTTTGCTGCCAAGGAATAGGAACTCTTTTTGCTAGCTGGGGTGGGAAAGCAAGTCTGGGGAGTTCCAGGGATTTTCTAGCCTGCAACTAGAAACTGTAGTGAAGCCAGGGATTTAGCTGTGGCACCACACCTGCCTCGCTAGCACAAGGTCCTGAGTTCAATCTTGGGTACAAAAAACCCCCCCAAAAACTGTGGTGGACCCAACTTTAGTGGGCCAGTCGAGTGCAGTCCTCAAGGAGACATTCTTATCTCCAGTCTGACTTTGGCCTGGGGTCCTGTTGTGGGAGGGTGAAATGGCAGACCACTCCCCCGCACCTAGGAATCAGACGGAGCTTCCTGCCGCTGGGTGGGTGGGGATGGGGCCGAGACAGAGGCAGGTGCCACTTGTTGTGGCACTAACTGCATGGGCCAGGCTTCTGTTGGTGCAGCGATGGACCAGGAGACTGACTGGGTGTCGAGCTCTCCAGTCTTTTCCCGGGTGGTTTCTGGGCAGGTTGAAAGGCATGGGGGTGTGCGTGCTCTCAGTGAGGGGTTGGTTTGTAATCTCCAGGAATCAAGTGGGGGATCTGAGAGGAAGTGTCTTTGAGCTGTGCTATGAGGGGACTTGCCTGGGATCTTGCTGCCAGGCCATCGCTTGGGAATGTAGGTGTCTCTGAGGCCCTGACAGTCAGTGTGTCTCATCTCCAAGCAGGAGCACCCTGTGCATTTTTGTAGAGAAGTTTCTGGGTTTGTGGGCAACTCGTCCGGCATAGATAGAAACCAGCCTTGACTTCGGTGAAGAAAGTGCCATCTGTCTGTGGCTGTGGTCTTTGACCTGGCAGCAAGTGCTGTGCTGTGCTCTAGCCCTGCGGGGAGGCTGACAGGCAGCACCAGGGCCTCTCATTGCTTGAGCCACACCAAGCAGCCCCTGTGCCAGCCTCACATAGGCTCAGGGCCATCTGCCCCATTTTCCTGTTCAGGGAGCAACATGATCAGAAAGAAGTTGTTCTTCTTTTGTTTTTAAACACCCCCGTAAATATTTCTGCTGCTCTGGGAGTCAAAATTTCTTCATTATTTAAAGAAACAATTCAAGAGTGGGGATAAGAGTTTCAGGTACTTAGGTAGATTGTCTTTCAGAAGTTTCTTTTCCACCTCTAACTTAGTAGTGACACTTCTGGTTTCCAGCTCTTTCCCCTCTTCTGGGTGGCCCATGCTTTTCCGCTTCTGGCTGCTTCTGGGCTGAGTGCCGCTCCTCCTCACTTGGGAATAGGTTCCTGCTGTGCATGAATACCTTGGCATAAGGAGTTTGGTTTGGTCGGGTGAGTGACAGGTCACACTGGTCTCCTTAACAGACTCTTGCTACTTCCCAAGCTTCTTGGAACCCAAATCAGCCACTGGCTTCCTCAGGCTGCAGCCCTTGATTGCCCAGGTAGCGATGGCAGCTGATGTGTGAGTTTGTGTCACACACGTCGCATTTCCTCCCCAATCATCTATACAGTCGGGTAAAATAGGCTTTTTCCCTAACCACTGGGACAGGCCGTGGTCGTGTGGGAGGTGGCTCATCTGTGGACCCTCAGCTGCAGGGGTCCTTGGGGCCTATGCATGGGTCTAACTCTCCTTGTCTCCCAAGAACCCGAGTGACTGATGAGCTGTGTATTCTTCCCTCCACATACCCAGGGCTCAGGCAGGCAGTGAATGCTTAGTCCAGGTGGGAACCTCTTGCCGTGGGCCCATCTTCAGCAGACATAACACTTGGGCTCCATCTGTCTGGCCAGCTCTGCTGACCATTGGCTTTAGTGGCCGTCAGAACCCAGCCACTTAGAAGGCAGGTCTCCTGGGGTGGCCGTGATGAGGGTGAGGACACTGCAGGAACAGTGTTGGGGAAAGGGGCCAGCCTCAAACCACTGGTCTCCCAGCCTCTCACACCCATGGGCTGGCCTCTCCTGTGTATGTAGTGTTCTTGGAGGAGCAGGGCCTGCCAGACTTGGCTCCCATCTACTCCAAGCAGAGCTCCATCTGGAAGGTGCAGCCATTGTAGATCCAAGGCCCTGGCTTGTCCATACTGGGAGCAAGGTGGCCCTGCTCAGTCTTAGCCCTTTGTCAGCCCAGGGTGGGGCACAGGGGGAAGAAAACCTTTCCCTACTGCACGGTTCCACACGACATTGGACTCCTCCTGGCTGTAGCTCACTCTGGTGATGCCACTAGTTTTTAGAATCTATTTAAAAGAAATCTGTACCTATTTATTGTGTTTCCCTGAATACACAAATGTAAATAGCATAATCTGCAGTACTAAGTCCTTGGCAATAACTTTTTGTTATGTATTATGTTAAAAACATTGGAAATCACAATCCCCACGGACTGTTCTGCCCCTCTGGGCAGTAGTTACATGTAGACTCTGGTGTAAAGTGTCAGCATGGTGGAAGCAGCAGCCTGCACATGTGGATTATCATCAGTGCCTCGCCCAGAGATGCCTGGCCTTCATCCAAAGGGACCCTGCTGCCCAGTTCCCGCAGGCAGTGCCCACACTGTGGCTCCTTGCGCTGAGCACGTTGGACTCTGCCATAGACTGATCCTCTTGTCTGGCTGCTACAGTGTGTCTATAATGCCTTGACATGTTGCATTTTCTCTATCTGGATGAATCAAAATAAATGCTTCCATGTTGAACAGCAGTGGCTGAAGTGTTCCTTGCAAGACTCGTGCTGGAGAAATAAAGGCGCTGGCTGTGGCGAGCAGTTGAAGCACAGCCCTCTTCTGCTAGCCCCTGAGGCCAGCTCTGTATACCACACAGCTCTTCCTTTCACGCCGGCGATGGCCAGGGCCTTGGGCCATGGGGTCCGAGTCCTTAAAATGTGCTTCTCTGTGAATGGCGAAGTTTAGTCTCCCCGAAGCTCTAAGCTGGCAGCCTGGCTCAGTGAACGGAAGTCATGTGTCGGGTGCACTGTGTGCTTTTCACAACCCTCCCTCGGAATACTCACAGTAGGCTCAGGGACTGGCAAGACTCAAGCACTGAAGGGACAAAGGGGCTCTGCCCCCAAGGGCGGCAAGCTGGAAGGCAGCGGCAACTGGACTCCAAAGCTGAGCTGTTCCTGCTCCTGCAGCCCCCCCACCTGCAGGCTTCCTGCTGCTGAGCTGCCCCAGTGAGGAGAACCAGGACCAAGGCAGGAGAACAAGGACAGAGGTGGCATAGGGCCCAGGAGAGTGGTGTGGCAGGGAGCTGAGTCAGGCTGCCACTGCCTGCAGATAAGTAGGGAGCTCTGTGAGAATGGCACTGGCTGGCTGTTTGACTTCGCAGGCAGATCCCATTTCCCTTACGTCTAGCTACACAGCACTGACTGAGCAGGGAGCTGGCCCAACTGCTGCTTTGGGATCCGCACAGGGCGTGGTCGTGGGAGGCCACTTTTGAGGGGGAACTAGCGAAGGAGGAAGGAGGGAGCCTTTTTCCTTGCTGTTGAACTCTGGCCTACCTTGCATAACATCAAGTCACAGCTCACAGGGAAGGCACAAGCGCCCAGAGATCCACAGTAGCTCCACCACCCCTATGAGACAGGCACAGAGCTCCCCTCAAAGATACGGAAAACAACCTAGAAAGGCTGAGATGAGAATTCAAGGTTGTGGCCCAGTCCCAGCCCCCAGTTTCCAGGTATATGTGGTATGTGAAGAGCTGTGACCATTTATATTCATTCCACCTGCTGTCCTGCTAGCTGCTGTGTGGCTCTGGCCAGGACCTGCTGTCTCAGCCCCGATTTCTTCACCTCTAAAATGGAAGAGGGTGACCTTAGCGCTCAGCCTGTTCTTTGAGCACCTTGTCATTCCCAGTGGTTCTCACGTGGCTGCTCCATCTCCCTGCCCCGCCCCCAGGTGAATCTTGGCAGAGAATTTAAATCCCAGTAGCAGCAGCAGGCACAAACTAAGCAGTGAAGTGACTCTCAAGCCAATGGGCCCTTGTCTACTGCACTCCCTGCAGCACATTCTGGTCTTCCCCCCACTGTTGGGCCAGTTAAGAACCTGTCACATTCTGCGCTTACCATCAGGAGCCTCCCTCCCTCCAACCCGCCCCCCTCACTCACCCCTGCTACTGGGACTTGGAATTCAGAACAGATGGGGAAACTTGGGGCACACCACTGGCCTTTCCTTTTGAAGCTTCTTCTACCTGAGAATGACTTAACGGGTCAGAACCAGCACTGACCACTGTTCCTTCTGCCAATTCTCAGCACCCACCCTTGCTGACCACCCTTCCTTTGCAGCCAGGCTTCTCAGCCTCTGAGGCAGCATGCCAGCAACCCTCAGTGCCCAATCCAGGCTGCTTTGCTGGCCCTGCCCTCAGGAGCACCTGCTGGGTCTCTGCTCTCGGTGCTTGACCTGTGTGCTCTCTGCACCGTCTCCCCATCTTCTGGGCTTCACTGCCGGGTTACAGCAGGACTCACTGGGCCGGCTCTGCTCCTGTGCAGGAGACGAGGCTTTGGCTGGGCCCAGGAGCCTGAGCCCAGGACAGCTCTGCCACTGCATCTGCCGAGCCTGCCTGGAGCTGAAGCACAGAAGCCCTGGGCTACAGACACCAAGCTGGCTCATGGGGTCTGAGACTCCCGACTGCTCCTCCTGTGTCCCAGGTGTCTCAAACCCTCACCCCAGGCTGCATTCATCTTCCGACTATCCTCTCACCAAGAGAGTCACCTACTCCTCCCTGCAGCCCTTCTGTCACCTCTGCTCAGACCTATTTTTCTTCTTGAAGGACTGGCACGGGAACATTCCACAGTGTATGTTGGATCATCACATTCAGACCTCCTTGGCATGGCCCCAAGCTAACTACCTGATTACATCTAGCTTATGCCACCCTGCCTCAAGTGGGTTATCAGATTAGCCACCGTTTCTTCCCGCTAAGTGCCTCCTCTTCTCCATGCAGTAGATGGCCTAGTCCCCATGCAGTATGAAGGCTGTTGCCATCATTCTGTTCCCCTGCAATACACATACCTTTTCTGGTCTCGAAGGGTCTCACACAACGGGATGGTGCGGGGCTGGACTTGTTACTCTCTCTCCCAGGGTCAACGAGGGGACCACCCTGACGGCAGTCAGGCCCGGGTGCCACAGCCGGCTGGTGTGGTGGGCGCCTTTCTCTGTGGTGATTTCTGCCACGTCTACACTTGTGAACAGGGTGCCCTTGGGACTAGGAAAGCAGGGAGCAGGCTGCCCAGCAATCTGAACCCCAGAAATAAGTCCTCCAACCTGTGAGCATCGAAGGTTCCCAACTGTCCTAGAGGACGCTCAGATGGCAGCGAGCCTCAGGGTTACAGAAGTAGCACTCTTCATCTCGGGCAGAGGGCCCAGGTGTGGAGCCTGGAAGGACCACCGACCCAACGAAGAGAAAGGAACTTTTTTTGGTTTTTGTTTTTGAGATGGCCTTGCTATGTAGTTCAGGCTGCCCTTGAACCTGTGATCCTCCTGCCTCAGCCTCTCAAGTGCTGAGAGATTACAGGTGTGTGCCACCACGCCCAGCTAGGAACTTTTAAAAGCTATAATCCCTCCCTGCCACCACTTTTCCTAACCCCTGGCAGAGCACACCTGGGGTCCAGGTACTCTGCCTTTCTGCCCTGTGGCTATTTGGCCTGTATACGGACAGCTGGCCCTGGAATCTCCTCTCCTGTCGCTGTCTAGTGAAATAACATTTGTCTTTCCAGGCCTAATACCACCCTTCCCTCCTGTAAGACCTCCTTGGACCTCAAACACAGCGAGGTCTGTCTCACGCCTGTCACACAGTATTGTAGTTTTCATGGAGGCACAAACTCTCAATGACTACAGAGGCAATGGGCTGTGCCTTCTCCCCTCCATGGCCCGCACACCTCAGCTGAGTGTGTGCACCTGAGCCTCACTTCTAGGACAGCACAAGGCTGGTCTCTCTCTCTGCTGGGGGAGGAAGGGGAAGGAGCACGTTAATGATAAAACTGGCTTTTACAAAGCAATGTTGTTTGTACCAAAATATTTAATGAATATGTTGTTAAAATAAAACCAACAAAAGAAATAGTAATACAGTTTTACTGGTTTATATTTCAGTTTGGAAAGTTGACACAAACTATCCTAGCACAATGTCACACCTAGTATTAGATGGGCTTACAGCGGTTTTGGTAACTGAACAAGAGACACAGAAAGCGGCAAGGGGACAGTCTCGGGGAGGGACTGCCACTTCTTGTCTCCCTTACACAGATGACCTCAGCAGCAAGCGTTAGTACAGCCAACAGGGACAGAGATACAGATCAAGTTTCTTTATATACAAACCAGTGCCTCTGTAGCCAGCCACCTCCACTCTGAATCCAGGAAAGACGAATCATCTGTGAGATGGCCTGTCAGCGTATCACTATATAAATTAAAGGTCAAAGTGTTTTAATTAAAAAAGGTGCTAAACCTCCATTCCCCGGCTTTGAAGTGAGGATCTGCAGCCCACCTGGACAGTGAGGTCAGACCGGCCCTGCCAGGCAAGAAGCGACCAGGCCAAGGGCATGGAGACCTCGCGGCACATGCACACTCACATTTACACAGATACATGGTGCAGTCTTTCTCACTTGTGCAACCTGTCATGCAAACACACTAGGAACCTTAAAGTGAGGGCCTCTTCACAGCTCCCATGATGGCACGGAGGAGAGCAGGGCCCAAGAAACCTCGAGTGAAACTAAGTGCCTGAATAACCATGGTAGTCAGCTGAGCAGATCAGTACTCCTAGTCTGAGACTTCAACACTGGCGACGGGGTGTATTAGGAAAGATACACACACACACACACACACACACACACACACACGACACATTAAGCAAAATAAGATTTGTCCACATTATGATTAATACAGTCTCATAGTCACATTACCCACTCTAGCTTTGTGAAGTCGTTTTGGCAGCTAATGCTAAGAAATAGCAGGAACTATGAGAGTTGCATAGAGTTGATCAGAAATGTGTGAATAATGCCAAACCAAACACCTGTGCATCATACAGTTTCACAAAAGTAGGTGGCTTCAGCTATGACTATGAAATTCTTGAATTTAAAACAAAGTGCTTCTCCATGTCTACCTGGGGACTGCCTGCTGGCACTTACAGATAAGAATTACTTTAATTTCTGATCCCCTATTCCCAGTATATATAATATGTATATGTTTTAAAAAATTAAAGGTTTAGAAAAAAATCAACACATTGAAGGATCCTGAAACTCTAATCATGTAGACTCAGCCTTGAGGCTGGGTGAAGTGTTGACCTGCGGGAGGAGGCCTGGGAGGTCACACTGAGGAGTGATTTCCGGGTGCGTCCAGAGCATCCGCGTAGCTGGCAGGACCGGTGTGTCAGTAGTGAGGAGAGCCTGGCCCAGAGGCTGCCTGCTGCAGGAGCTTGGGCCCAACAACCTACCAGCATCCGCCTACAGATCCGACTGAGTTTGTTCTGGTCCTGGGACATGTCACAGAATCACACATCTGGCCAAAGAAGGCAACAAAAGGTGGTATTTTCGGAAGGGGTCTGGAGGCAGCAGTTGCTCTCAGCAAGTCTCTTTCCCCTGAACCCCCGTCGCCGTCTTAATGGAGCTCAGCGTTCGGTTAAACCAGGTCTTCTTGGCTGCCTGTACTTCATTGAGGGCGAGGCCTAAGTGGTGCTCCAAGTCCTGCAGGAGGAACAAAGCAAACGAGGCTCTCGGCTCCAGCG